CGAACCCCACAGCATTTGCCCCTGCAGTGCCAAAACGTCAATAGTTTTGCAGCGCAGCTGCAGTGCTGCAAAGAAGACAATTTGGGGGCGCATGGAAACATTACATTTCTCGCGCAATAACGTCCCTAGGGTGGGGATGCTCGAAGTAGATAATTGGTACGTTTTTTTTACATGAGGTGAGGTCTACACTTGATGTTATCAACGGTCACATGGTTGTTGCGTTCTATGAGATAATTCCTGAAGGTTGGCTTCAGCAAATCTGGAGAATGAGCTAGTAGTGCTCATGACCGAGATGCTTCGGCCAGAACGCTGGCGACTGAACAAGTCCAGCAGCAAAAAGTATAATCTTACTTGGCCCAGCCACCACAAAAAGTCTCCCCAGCTGCAGCTTTGTGGATTTTGGTTATCCGGTGAGCTTAAAGGGCCGACAGCACAAAACCCTGTGCATCTACGTGAATGTGTATGAGAGGTACAACGTAGGGGGCATATAATTTGAGGTTACATGTACCTGTTTCTATGCATTTGTTTGTATTCCTACGTCTTCGGTCCCGGAAACACAGAAATCTAACTGAAAGCACGATTTGGGGTGTGGAAGCCCTGCTTCAGCCTCAGCGCAGATCCAACAACAGCAAAACAGGACTTGGAAGGGATTCGGAAGCCGCATAAAAAAAAGATCCTGAGCCCAGATGGTTGTGCTCTCAAGTGCGTAAACCTCAGATCCCAGAACCCTTCATACATCCCACCTTGCAATGCTGTGAGGCCATGCAGCAGGTGGCAAAGTTTATCCCTCTGAAGCGTGAGCCCTGAGCCTGCAAACTGAACAGGACCTTGAGCACCTTCCCGAGATGACAGCCTACGAGACTGTGCTCACACGGCATTGTGGAATTCTGGGAGTCCAGGGTGGGGTTTAGGGTTTAGGTTTAGGGTTTAGGGTTCGGGGTTTACGTTTGGGGCTGCATGGTTCAGGGTCTACTTCTGGCTGTGTGCGAGCCCAGGTGTGGAGGACCTGCTACATGAGATTCGACTCGCCACAAGAGGATTACAGACCTAGACTTAAATGTTGCTGTCTGACCGAGATTCAGTTAGCACCGAGGCATCTCAATATGTTCCATGGTGGCGTGATCGTAAGTGGTTAAGCTGCTCAAGGCCTATGTTGGGATGGTTCACTGATAGACAAGACGAACTGTGTCTCGCTCAATCCTTCCAACAGCCCGCATCCACTAATCTTTACGATCCATGGGTGGCATGTGCCCAATTACAGATGCAAAAGCTTCGATTTTGGATTCCGGCCTTGAGGAGATCTGAAGAGTGTACAGGGAGGATATTGCGCGTCAAGGCTGAAATGCAGGGGGTTAGGGTTCTACTGTCCTAGTAGCACATCTGCGTAGATCATTCTTGAATGGCGGGTGAGGTGTTGATGCCAAACAGGGATGTATGAAGCCTAGCCTACCGACAAACCCTTAACCCTATCTCCAAACTAGCGTGGAACCCCAACATGATCCTCGAAAAGACATCCGCCCTTTGTAGACCATGTATTCGCCACCATAAGAGCTTCTCAGCCGTGGTTTTCCTCAACAACTTGGTCATTGTTGGACAGTCTTACTTTTCTGCCATATGCAAACATAAAAGCCCAAAGCGGAATACGGAGGCCTAATTTCAGATAGCGTGGTTTCGGGATCTCTTCAAAGGAGTTATAGCAGCACACAGGGAGATACGCGTGTCGGGATTCGGGGTCAAGGTTTCTAGAATTTCTGGATTTCATCTTAGGCGGGCACGTATAACATGGACTAGTATTTTGGGGCAGTTAAGGGGGGCACCCTTTTTCCCATTTTCCCTTCATCCCTGATATTTTCTCTAGTGGACGACCACCAATAACAGAATTGCAAACGCTTCAAGACACACGGACACCTGACGCCACTGAAACTTCTCCTGCTTAGCGGGGAACAGCCGACGGGATCTATGACAATCCCAGTGTAATCCCCGCAATAATGTATACAGCCCCTTCCAGCCTCTTTCGCCTTAGCATGAGTAAGTTGCTGCCTGGCCGGCATTGAAAACCTGACAGCCCTTATATAAACCACAAGCCATAAACCCTAAAGCCCTAGACCCCACAAAGCTAAAACCTCAAACCCTAAATCCTAGACTTTAAATTGGTAGATGAGGTGCAGCTGGCTGGAACGGACATCCTGATTCGCATCCGGCGGCTTGGCATCATCTCGTGAGCGTTTGGTTCTTGGTTTAGGGTCTGGGGATATAAGGGGATTCCACAAATGGGGACCCAATATAGGCCGCAATGTAGTATATAGTCCTGATTTCAGGGCCTCCGAAAACAAGACCTGTAATTTTTGAAGTCCCCCATGTGGGTTTCGGGCGGCTTAGGGACTAGTAGGCATCCCATGGATGTAGGTACTATCTAATTGCTACTGGACTGGAGCAGAAATGCCCTGAACAATCCCTGAACCCTATACTTAAACCTTCTATATCATCCCGGTTTCCATCTCTTTCTCCATTTTCTTTTCCATTAGAATCTCAATGGTTGGGGTACATCCCTAAGCCCTACAACCTAATCCCTAAGCCCCATACTCAAGCTAAAGATCTTAAAGTTTAAGGGTGGCCAAGCGCTTTCTTCTGAATTGATGTGTTGCTGAGGCTGCAGCTGCGATTCCTTGCCAAGGCCATCTCTTTGGGGTTTGGGCGTTGGGCATTTTTAGGTCGGTTTTCGGGTTTCTTGGAGGTTGTGGGTTTGATTGGGGATTTCGGGTTTGCTGGGGGTATAGGGTTTGTCGGGGGTTTAGGGTTTGGTTGGGGGTTTAAGGTTTAGGATTGTGATGTCAAACTCTGGACGCGTGCCAGTCTTGCATTATGGCCCCTTCAAGACATCGTCTTGCAAGAGTGACTCGACAGAGGGATAGTTTAGGTGGACCCCCCCCACCACCCTCTAATAATGATATAATAGGATTATAAGAGGACCCTACTACAATTACCATTATCCCTTATAGTCACTCTTACTGGCTTGGGGGTCCACCTAAGGGGCTGCAGCAGTTTCTAGGCTTGGCCTCAGTCAGGTTGAAGATTGACTTTGTACGTGGCACAGGACAAGGGGATCCTCACACAGCACGCCTGCATCTCCGCACTTGTTGTGGAATGTGAACCTCAAACCTGCATTTGTCGACTAGACCTAAAGGGGTGGCTTATTGGCATTTACTTCAACTACAATGCTGCTGAGAGGGCCTATCTGCCGAGAAAGGTGGCACTGTGTACGAAATCATACGTACCAGCACCAATCACGCCCAGACTGCCAAGTTAATTGAGTGCGGGGCGGAACAGAAAATCACAGACAACTGTCAGTAGAAGCCTGAAGAAACATCGTACACGTATCTCCGGATGTACATATACACAGATGGCAATGTTATTCTGGTAGCGTTGCCATTCTGGTGATGGTATTTAGAGCACGCAATGGTATCGCATGTACTCTGCAAACCCATAGAAACAGCGGTGAAAGTGCATTGCCTAGTTTATTGAAAGACAGAAGCATCATTCGCACACAGTAAAAGCACAGGTAAAGCACGAAGGGATCCGTGCGTACCTTTTTACTCTAAAGCAGTATACAATCCAAATTGCAACGTACAGTAGCACCAAGTTACCATGAGAAGATAAGTGTTTAAGGCAGCTTACGCAGCCTGAAAATGTTCGATGCCCCGCATAGCTACTGTACGCCTCCCATTAGAAAGTCACCTCTTGAACGTGCCACTCAGTGCCTTCAAGTACCGAAATCCTAAAATCATAAACTCAGAGCACCTCTGGTCTCTTTAGTGCAGAGTGGAGTGGTTTCTAATACGGCCCTAACAATGAATATTCCCTCTCAATATGTACTGATACTACGTTAGCAGTGTTTTTTCATTAGGAGGAAGGGCTTAAGCCCACTGAATATCCTATAGTAGTTTCCATTTTATTTTCCATTATCCCAATATGACCCCAATATACTAGAGTAGTTTCCATTTTCTTTTCCACTATCCCTATATATGCCCAATATTCTCCATTATTGGGCTTTGCCCCAGGGTTACATCAGGGCAGGATTTTGCAGGCAA